AGGAGCACGACGCAGGCGGGCTGGCCGCGCAAGTGTGTCTCGAGGGTATAAAGCCGAGGAGCACGACGCAGGCGGGTTGGCCGCGCAGGTGTGTCTCTGGGGCATGAAGCCGAGGAGCACGACGCAGGCGGTCTGGCCGCGCAGGTATTACATGAATCTCATGCAGGCATTGAGGTTTCTTTTTTTCCGACATGAATTAGTGTGGGTGTCTTGATTTTATATAAACGTCATCAAAATTTATAGATTCTAAAGTATGTTGAGTGTTTTCGTTTTAATTTTGGATGTACTTGGGTCCCTCAGATATATGATGTAGCCGAATGGGTTCATGAAAACAATGATCGTCAAAGCACATTTTTCAAAACTAAGTTCCACTGTGTGATTCCTGAAAACATGTAGGGTTTTTACGAGAGGAGCTGATGCAGCAATCCAAGGAAAATAAGAGAGGAACTGTGCAGTTGAAGAATTATTACGAGAGCGGTATGCCTTATTCCTTTTTTGAACATCAATATTACTCTGAACATGTGTTATATCATTTTCTTAAGAGGGATTTATTATTATGGCTTGTCATAGTGTCTCTTGGAAGTTTATCCTCTAGTGTAAATAATTGTTATGAACATGATGCATTGCATTCCTGAATAGCATTATAGTGATGCTAAAAGCTGCTTAGACTGGTGTCAGATTATTTGGATATTTGTCTTGTGACATCTAATGGGTCCTTTCATGATGCATTTTTTTCATGTCCTGTCGTAGGAGTGGTTTCTTTTAGTTGTTGGTGGCAAACCTGAAACTTCCAGTTAGGGTCCTCCTATGTTCTGGACCATAATGTTGTCATTGTAGCTTGAGAAAAGGTGTAGCAGATGATGTAAACCTTGCAACCAGATCCACTGACAATCATGATTAAACACAGAAAAAAGTTCCACCTTGGGCATCCTTTGTTCAGAATAAAACAAATATATAACCCAATAGTAAATCTCTTCCTTTGCATATCTGATACTTCCGTTTATGTCGTAGTCCCAGATTCAAAACTTGTTGACAAATTGAAAGCAAATAAAACTTAGTCCTTTGAATTTAAGCACTTGTCGGTTGTTTCTTCAGTAGACTGTACAAACTTTTAGACTGTTCTCCAACTGATCTCAAGATGGCGGTTCTCTTGTGAAGAAGTATGAGGCATCTTCGTTTCAGACAGTATCGGCTCATATTGGCTGGAGGAGGAGATGATGATGAACTTCAAGACTTGTATTTCCAGAAAATTCAATTAAAGTTGGTGAGCAGCTTCCTTTCCTTCTTTTTTTTTTTAATGTTTTTGGTGGAGATGGTTCCAAGTGTTGTGATGTTGTGCAGAACTCGAGCTTCAGTGAGAGACACTGATCAGTAGCCAAGTTCCAGTCACAAACACTATAGTTGTTAATTGTGATCTTTCTTTTTTTTTTGTCTCTATTGATCTCATCTCATGAACTGTTCTCTTACATCTTCCTCTATGCAGCACAGTGAAACTTAATGATGGATGGATTTTTTATTAGTGCAAATACAAAGAAGTTGTTCCCCTCGAAGTGCTCATTGTTTAAGGGAAGGGTGGGTATTATTACTTTTGGTCCCTTTTTCTTTAAATTATTCTTTTTATTTTGTCGCTATTTCTTCATTTCTTTACTTTTGCGTAAACATGCGGGCAAGGCATAATATATTATATTTGCAGGCACGATCGATGATGGATGGGCTCAGATATGTCTTGCATGCAATTTTGGATGACGTGCTGATAATGTCCGGATCTCATTAACAACAAGCTCATGGATTCCCGGTGGAGGGGGATGGCGTATGACCGGGGCCAGGGATGTGGAACCCACGGGTGGGACCCATCTCATCAATCCGAGGTAAATTTGGATAATCTAAACGTACCTGTTAATATGTTTGTAGAATAAAGAAATCCTCCGATAAATGGATCCATCTCAATCAATCCAAGCAAGTAAAATATTAATAATCGAAATTAATTTGTTTGTAGAATAAAGAAATCCTCCACCCAAAAAAAATATTGGTACTTTTTATTAGATTTTATATAGGATGGTATTAGGTAAAGTGATAAAAATTAATGGAATAAAGTTTTGAACCATGTCGTTACCGTCTTCCATTCAAAACTATTTCTCACTTCGAAGGTGGGATCCTCTACGAACATCCGAGCCCCCGCCAACCAGCAAATTGAAGACAGCAGAGATGGGGATGGGACAAGAATTGGAAGGGATCCATGCTAGCCCTCCTTCGGAACCGTCTGTCATCTCCGACCCCCTCAATGAAACAAACGAAATCGACGACACTGACATGAAGATGGGAGGAGGAAGAGGAGCCGACGTGAGGAAGGGGCTCATCGTGCCGGTCGCCGTTGATGAGGAGACACCGACGACGAAGGCGCCCTTGGGCTCCGCGCCCAAGGACTTGTTCCACATCGCCTACGCCGTGTACTTCACCCTGGGTGCGGGGTTCCTCCTGCCGTGGAACGCCTTCATCACCGCCGTGGACTACTTCAGCTACCTCTACCCGGGCGCCCCCGTCGACCGCGTCTTCTCCGTGGCCTACATGGTCATTGGCCTCCTCCTCCTCGCCGTCATCGTCTTATGGGCCCGCCGCTCCAGCGCTCACCTCCGCGTCAACGCTGGCCTCGCCCTCTTCATCGCCGCCCTCCTCGTCGTCCCCGTCATGGATGCCGCCTACGTCAGGGGCAAGCAGGGGCGCTACGCCGCCTTCGACGTCACCGTTGGCGCAGTGGTCCTCTCCGGCATCGCCGACGCCCTCGTGCAGAGCGGCGTCATCGGATCCGCTGGGGAGCTCCCCGAGAGGTACATGCAGGCCGTCGTAGCCGGCACCGCCGCATCCGGTACCGATTCCTTCTCAGATCTCTGTTTCTTTCATGAATATAGCACAAGAATTCCCATGTTAGTCTGCTCGATCAACGAGTCAAATCATAGTGGCACATCCATCATCCATAATCCATCACTTGGTCTTGAAACCTGATTTCTCGTCGAGTGGTGTGTGTGCAATGAACCTGTCGACTGCACAAAGTTTTAGCTTCAAGATTCATCAAGGCTATCGAGATGATGCATCATGTCATGTTCGGCTCAACGTTGGTTGAGCTACTTACCCTTCATCAAAACAAATTCTGCAGGGATCACAATGACGTATGAGATAGAATATATAGATAGCCTTTGTGTAGATCATAGCTCTAACTAAAAGAATCATCATTATAATTAATACATGTGGAGTACTACTACCCTTATAAGTTTTCGTGATCTCACCTGCAAAATAAATTATTATAGCAATAGAATCCCATGATTGCAATCTAGCTAATAACGACCTTCCTTTAACCATGGGTTCACGGAACATGGTTTTAGTACTGTAGTGATTGCTCTAAAAGGACAAGTAAATGATCGATCCTTTTTGTGAAAAAAAAAAAAGGGCCTTCTTGTGTGTGTGTGTGTGTGCATCCCTTGAAACAAGCAGGCCAAATAACAACTTAATTCTTGCTATGTGTAGGGGTGCTTGCTTCAACTATGAGAGTCATTACCAAAGCCATCTACCCACGGGATGCCCATGGGCTAAGGAAAAGCGCAATTCTGTACTTCACCGTGGGCATTGTGATGATGGTGATCAATATCGTCTGCTACAACATGGCGGACAGGCTTCCTGTCGTCCGATACTACAGACACATCAAGCTACAGGCAATGGAAGACAAGAGGAACGAGAGAGGCCCCGCGAGTGGGTCTGCACTGGGGTCAACCCTGTGGCACATCACGGGGAGGATCAAATGGATTGGGCTTGGAATCTTCCTCACCTATGCTGTGACACTATCCATATTCCCGGGATATATCACGGAGGATGTTCACTCCGAGTTGCTCAAGGACTGGTATCCCATCATGCTCATCGCCGGATACAACGTGTTTGATCTGGTAGGGAAGTCTCTGACGGCGGTCTACCTCGTTGAGAATGCCAACGTTGCGGTATCTAGCTGCGTCGCAAGGCTTCTCTTCTACCCACTTTTTGTTGGTTGTTTGCGTGGCCCCAAGTTCTTCCGCACGGAAGTCCCGGTCACCGTTTTGACATGCCTCCTGGGGCTAACCAATGGGTATTTGACTTCAGTGCTGATGATAATGGCACCCAAGTCCGTGCCGATACAGCATTCAGAGACGGCAGGGATTGTCAGTGTATTGTTCCTAGCAATTGGCCTGTCTTTTGGGTCAATAGTTTCTTGGTTTTGGGTCATTTAGGTGCAGTTTTTACTCACGTAAACAAGCTACTGCTATATAGTGTATGTAACGTACCAATGTCCGCAAGAATGATGCCTTTATATGCTTTCTTGCTTCTATTTAACCATGGCAATCGACATGCATTTCTGCTTATTCAAGTGTTATGTTCTACGATAAGATGCATACACAACCATGCAACAAAAACACTGTTATGTTCTGAGATTGTATAGAAAATAATTTCTCAATCACAACATTTAAGCAATATACAATCCAAAAAATCAAGCAGCGTTTCAAGATCCCTTGATCGATCATGAAAAAGCATCAGAACGAGAAAACCGGAAGAACGAAGCAGCGATTCAAGATTC